CCCTTTAAGCAATCTCGGAAAAATTGAAAAATTTTTGTTTGTTGTTTATTATTAGCAATGTTCTTCCGACGTCTGATTCCTTTTTAAAAAATGCGTTTCTAAAATGCATAAACTTTTGGGATTGACTGTATAGCCAATACATCCTTAATTTACACATCTTATAAGTTTCACACTACACTTATTTTAGAATTTCGTGTGAGCCATTATCGATAAGAGAACATGTTTGCACAGCACCGAGAGCGTTGCATTATCGTTTGAAAAACCGTTAATGACTTGCACACTTTATCCGAAATTATTTTCCATTTTACAGCTCCACCAAGGTTGAAGGCCCTGAAGAACCGTGACAACGGTGGGACAGGCTCTACCATAAGATCCTACGCCCTCCAATTAGCCGCGGACAAAACGACCACGTTCTCCCAGAATATCGACAACTTTATACAATGCACGAAGGAGGGCAAGGAGGCGAGCCCTCACGTGGTGATGAGGAACATGCGACAGTTCATGTCGGGGATGAAGAACTACCTGGTGAAACACGGCGAGCGGGAGTTCGAGAAAGAGGTGGAGAAGGAAAGGGTGAAGCTGAGGGCGAACGAGTTCCTGAACCTGGACGCGATCCTAGAGGGTGTGATGATGGGACTGGTCGTGACCCCGCTCAGGGAACACGTTTACAGATTGTTCATCGAACATTACGCGACCACCGGATCGTTGCAGACCCTCGCCGAGAGCATCCAACATGCCCAGGGGAAACACATTCAGGATCTCGGCGTTCGAGTAAGTGTCGGACGTTAATTTAATCGCCGATGGTCAGTCGAAAACGGAGATAAAGCGAACAAACTTTATTGCATAGAATTTTTCCAAGCGTTCCAGTGCGCGACTTAAGCGAGTAGTCTTAAATTGATACACATCCTTAGTAATAAATGCGAAATTTTTGTATCTTCTAATTATATCTAATTACGCATAACTGTGATCGTATTGAACGTGTAGCTATTTAAATATTCTGTAATAATTCTCCAAGTGGACTTTTAAGGCATTGCGAATGCTCTTGCTTACAGCCAAAGATCGTACCCCCGTCGGAAACGAGTTTGGAAAAAATCCTCAAGTACATCGACCGACTTCAGAGAGCGGACTCACCCCTAGACAAGCTGGAGCACCTCCTAGCAGCATTCTCAGCGATTTTCAATTCTGTGAGTACCTCTTTACAGGCTGCTAAGCAGAATTTTTTAAAAAACAATATTTGAAACATGTTCGTTTTGAATGGTTTGTCAGGTGAAGCACGCGAACTCTGGCAGAACCGTGACGCTGGGCGCCGACGATCTCCTTCCCCTTCTGGTCTGGGTGTTGGTCCGCGGCAAAGTCGTGGACGCCGAGGTCGAAGCCGAGTACATGTGGGGCCTGCTTCATCCCTCTCTTCTCACCGGCGAAGGGGGATACTATTTGACGACGTTGTCCAGCGCGGTTCACGTTTTGAAGACGTTCAAGTCCAGCCAGGGGACGATGTCCACGTTAAACGTGAGTGACTTCGCGGCCGACGGCTTCTGAAGCATTATAAACGGGTTTCTATGATCCTCGGGCAAACGTTACAACGTCGTTCGATCGTTTTCAGGGCTGTGGAACGCCGGACTGTTCATCCGTACTACGGATCTTAGTACCAGATGAACTGCACGGCTCCCTGAACACTAGGACGCTGCCCGTGCGACCGAACATGAACACGAGAGAGGTCTGTCGCATCCTCGCGCATAAGATCAGATGCACCAATCCCCAGGACTACGGCCTGTTCAAGCTGGTCCAAGGCGAAGGTGAGAACATAGAAATTCAGATCTAAGCGTGGCTGCGAGAAGCGTTCAAGGTCGAGCTACCGGCATGCGTCGACCAACTTGTCACGTTCATACTTCATCATTTGATTTTATTCGTTTTTTTTTTTTGTTATAGAAACCTTACTCGGCGACCATGAATGTCCGCAGGAGCTCTCTCATTGTCTTTTCGCTTACAAGCGGATAGACGCGAAGATCGCCTGGCCGAAGACCAGTTCTTAATCGGGGCTCGCGACCACCGGCGGTCGTCGGTTTCACGACCGACGCGTTCCACATTTTACTATCTAGTTTCATTGCTGCTGACGTCGCGTTTTTATTCTCCGCACATTTAGACGTATATCGAAATCTCTCGGGCACGAAGCTAGCTGCGGCAATTAAATCTATACTTGAACACTGCCAGGTTTCCGTTACGATTCTATTGATTAAAAATCTCTTGCCAATAATTTTTCGATCCAAAGAATTGTTCGAACGAACGTGGTGCAATGGAGTAGTGCAATGCTTCGACCGAACGCAGCTAAAGATAATCGGATTCGATTTACCCGAAGACAGGTGCTAGAGCGTCGGATCGGAAACGCAGCGAGGTCTCAACGAATTGTTCCCGAACGACTGTCTCTGCTTCGTGATCGAGTCAAGGGACAGCGTATTTTCCTCAGTATTCGATACTTAACTAATGGACCAGTCTCGTCGGCGAGGCGTTTTTCAATCGGTTGAAAAAGACGGTCAAAGTTTCTGCGATGTCCCTTCGGTGATTCATTTACTTTAATATTTAACTATCGTACAGGCAGACCAAGTGATTTAACCGTGACGCGGAGGAGATCGGGAAATCCTTGACAGTCTCTGACGGAGGTGATGAAGCCTAAAGCGTGACCGAGTAAAGGATCGTAGAGGGTGTCTCCTCTTGATACAAATTTAATATTAGACTTAGAAGCACGGAAGGCTAGTTTAGACTCTATTTTTAAGTACCAATTCTCGACGAGACGGATTATACACGAGCAATGTACGTGCACGTACTTGGACAAGGCGGACGTCGCTATATTTATTGGGAAGTTGTACACACAATATTTTACTATGTATCGTTCGTCGAACACTACCAAGTATCTTTAATATTCGGCGCGCGCGCGCGCGCGGGCTCCTGCGTTTCGCTCATCCTCTTCCTTTCGATCCCGAATCCGCCAGGCTGATTTGCTCACTTAATGTTATTATAAAAGGCTGTGGAACTAATTAGTCTCTCTCTATCTCTCTCCGGAAACGAGTGATTCAAATATTGACGAGCAGAGTTTGTTTTTCGGGGCGGGGGTGGGTAAGCTGTCGCGGAGCGAATAATATTTTACTACTGAAGAAACTCACGTACAAATCAGCCTCGCGATCGTCACATTACTGGAGAACGAACAACAAAAGAATAGGGAACGGAGAAGGAACAAAAAGTAATAACGATGTGTACCCCCTTCGATGATAAGTGTAAACGATAATAATTAGTTAACGATTTATAAATGTACATTTCTCTCCTTTATATGTGGTACCTAATTTATTACGAAGCGAGTTCTCAATACACGTCGTGGATCAATCAACGATACGCACCCCCTCGCATTTAAACCGCGCTTTCGATCATCCCCCCCTCACTCGAGATCTAATCCGATCACCGTAACGTATAATGCTTCTAATATGCTAGTCAAGCCGATACAGATCAGCAGTTTTATTATAGACAAAAAGGAGTACCGTTTTAATATCTTCTCACTATCATTATTCTCCCCTTTTGTAAGCGATCACGATAGTCTTTATTTCCGTTCGCGAAAGGAAAGAACAGAAGTCGTAACGTCGTTGATCATCGATTCTACTAGACATCTTTCTTATTAATTATTAATTACTATTGTAACGTGTAACATTATGCTCAATAAAAACTTTTCTATAATTCGAAACGGATGGAGCAAGTGGTCCAGGTGTCCCAGAAAAAGTGTTAGTGCTGAAAAGGGATGATTCTGAACAACAATTTCCTTTGGTAAAATGCAAAATGAGACACGGTTTTTGAATTATTAACGAAAAACACTGACCAATGAGAGAACGCGTACGGCCCGTTAAGCCAATGGAAACACTCTCCTCACGGTAGGAAACGAGAACCTTTGCCAGGAAGAGATCACCCGGTCTACAATCGACACCGATCTGCGCCGTATTTGCATGGAACATCTCATTTCGATATTGCGAAAGCGCGCATTCGTACCGTCTGGAGATTGAGATAATAACCGGACGTAATTTACAGCCACGTACGCGGCGTTATAAATAACCGGACAATCTTATCAGCTTATGGTGTCCGCCGTGTACGTATCATCTAAAATTAGCCATCTATTTTTATCGACCAAATTTCGAACTACGAGAGATGAGCTACGAATGTCTGATCGAAATGAAACGAAGCCGGGTTTCTTAGCAACGAAATTTTAATAAAATCCGAAGGCAGAGAGTACAATGCTAAGTTCTTATCACAATAAATAGGTAATTTCATGGTCTTCGACGCGGAGGAGTTGAACAGGGATTACAAGTGGAAATATTTATTATAAATCAAAACTTACAATAGTACTTGCACCTGAGAGCTGCAATACTTGAACAAAATTCGTGAGGCTGACTACGGAATAAAGCGACTACGTTCAACGTTTACCAGTGGACGCTAAATCTTATCGTCTAATACTATATCACATTTATTCCTCGAAATTTAAGGTAGATCATCGGTTCGCAGCCCGTTCGGTGCTCGCTTCGAACGAAATATAGGAAAAAACGGGTGATACCATCTGTTCCATGCGAACGAACGTAAATAAATAATAAAAGCTTAAATTAAATATTGAATACGTCACGGGTCTCCTGCCGCTCGCCAAACGTGCATTACAAAATTTTTGACATGCGTTTAAAAACCGTCTGGTCAATTAAAAATCGCGGGTTTTTCCAAGTAGAAAAAGAACGTTCGTTGTGAGACCGATCTCGTTCTAATATCTTACACCAATTCGAATTGTTATCGACGTATATATCACCGTTGCTCAGTCAATATAACTACTATTTATCACAATTCATCGCAGTTACGATATTAAAATTTTTCACAATTACTGTTGCAATGGTAATTAATTATATATATATATCTAAAGCATCACTTCAGTTCTTAAATATCGACGAGCGAGCAAATTATTACAATTCCGTGTTACAGTCGCGTATAAGCAAAGAAGAAATCAAGACCTGGTGCAAGATGTGCGTTAATACGTACGGTGCTCGAAGGTAAAAATCTATACTCGTGTTCTCAAGAGTCTAGGACCTGGCACAGTTCAATTTTTGATCGTTCTGTGCATCTCAATGCTTTACCGTGTATACTGAACCGTGTGGAGAGAATTCGCTGCGACCCCCATCACCTTTTAAGCTGCGCGGGATGGTCCTAGACTCTCGAGAACACCAGTATAGGCGAAATTATTGCTCATCTCGCGGTTACTTTGTGCTTCTAATTAAAAAACATAAAGGAACGAATAAAGTTCAGTCAAAGGTGATCAAGAGGCGAGAAAGTAAAAGCTAGTTCTAGGCCTTCAAGCTCTCAGGCGCAGATTATTCGTATGTAAAATGCATGTCCCTTCGGGGTAATGAGAATACACGTGGAAATTAATGTGTAAAACGTGTACTGTAAAAATGAAGGAGGTAACGACGAAGGATCTCAAAAACGAAACTCGTCTCGCAACCGGAAATCGCACGCGGTACAGGCTGTAATTCGATGTCGTTTGAATTGGGCCAGTCCGATGGAATTCATGTTTCAATCGTTTCATGATTGATTTCTCAGTATTGCTTCAACTGTTTCTTGATCTAACTTGAACGAGAGGACTCGACTAATTCAAATGATCGTCGATCAGCGCGGAAACGATACCTCGATTTCAATTCACAGCCGGTCACACTACGATCCTTGGTCTTGACCACTGCGAAAAGGACTCGATTAAAGGCGAGAAGTAAACTTCTAAAATAATTTAAACGAACGAAATTATAATACAACGTAACGTTACGTGGACGCGTCAGGTGAATGCAAAAATTCTACTGGTTCCTCTATTTTTATTTAAATAATAAAGAATACAAATAAATAGACAGAGAATAAATTACATTATACATATATCGGGCAGCATGCAATAATTTAACGAATCTGTTGACATTTTCATAATTCTCGAATCGAATGAATTTTTGCACTCGCCCATTGGATGCTCGTTAAAAAGGAGATGACAAAACGGTTCAAACTTAGAATAATTTAAATAGTCGTAAGAAGTACGTAATATAAGTACTTAAACGGGATTACAGATAGGAAAAAGAATAGAACGGAGCGACTTCCACTATACGCGGTTCACGACTCGAAGACTCCCAAGACTCTTTTGCTTCGTTACACTGTGTTTTTTTTTTCAATTATGACAATGAGTATACTCGCCTTATTCTAACGTGCACGGTGTAATGGTGTCCTTCGTGTTAATGTATGTGTGAGAATACAATAATGCTAAGCGACGTTTTCAAACGTGAATCACCTCTGCTCCTTCTCTTTCTCTTTCTCTCTCGAGCGACAAGCTGGGTGGCTCGTGGAATGATTACGCGTGTGTCGCATCATCCTCAACGTGACGGTGTAATGATCAGCGCGATACCGGAGATGGTGTTCGTAACTCCTTGAAATCTCACTTCCGCGATCCTCCTGTTCGACTCGCGGTTGGATTTATAAAAAATAGATGACTCGATCAAAAAGAAATGTCTGAGCATCTGGGATTCCGGGATCGTCGTGAAGTTTCAAGCTGTAGCGAGTTACGACCTCTGAACGAAGGGATATGTATATACGGATCGATCAGTTTTGCGCGTGGATGCATTAATGGACGCAATGCTTTTGAGAAGGAAACTGTTCGTTCGCTTTTTTCTGTACAACACGAAGAGAAGATTGAATACATCACGGTTCTTCTTCTTTGGTCAACTCGACCAATGTTCTTTGATTCAGCAGGCGAAGGAATGCAATGGTGGGATGTTCTTTTTTTCTTTTCTTTTTTTGATTCAGATACACGTTTCGAAGCAGGGTGGAACCAAGTATTCTTACGTTTCTCTCTCGCTCGCTCTCGCTCTCGCTCTCTCACTCTCTTTCTTTCTTTCTTTCTTTCTCTCTCTCTCTCTCTCTCTCTCTCTCTCTGCTTTCTATTTGAAATGGTCAGTCGTTAGCACGAAGCTACAATTGTGTTTGTCGAGGCACGAACAGCGACATGGAGTACTTCATTTTTTTTTACGGTGCGTCTGATTGATCGAGAAAAGCAGCTGGAATGTGCCGTTATACGTTAAACGATCCAGAGAGAAACGGACGTCAGCCAATGTTTCGACCAAACAATGCAGAGCCCTTTTATCATCCTGTTGGTATCGTTTCGCGTATAGCTCTCTTATTTACGTAAATGTAGTGTCCTTTACTGCGCACGAACCGAATACTTCCGGCCCTGAAACAGCAGACAATAAATCCTCGCTAAAGAAATCGGTATAAAAAAAAGCTGTCAAAGCATCTCGTGTCTTCAATCGAAAACTGGACTCTTTATCTACAGATGAAGTCTAAACAGTTCCTATCGATTCTCAACGATTGAAGCCATGAGATCTGCATGAGACTGATAAAATAAATGTTGCGAAAGCTGGAAGAAACGTATGATATTAATCCGTATGGTGTCTACCGTGGCAAGCCAAGTAACGTTCGCGATCAATGAATCGCTCAACCTATGTACACAAGCAAACTATTACAACGTCCCATGCAGATTTTACGAGATCCAAGCCGTAATTAATCGACGTTAAACGATGAGTCACAGGCGTGTCCTCGTTACAAAAAAAAAAAGTACAAAAGAGGTGGTGAGATAAATAAAGGTGAATCGAAAGAAAAATGATTGGAGGGCTGGTTTGTGCATCGAGTGAAGAGAGGTCGCGGCGAAGGAGAACTGAAGTAATAATGATAATAATTAGTCTACGAAATCTACGAATACGCACCTGCTGAAGAGACCCGGTCTCTCAGTCTCATCCCGGTTTTTGCTGTCCAGACGTAAATCGTACTCCAGAGGGACATCCTGTTATTCTAAGTCCCGGCCCGCAGAGTATACTCAAATCAAAGCGAAACAAAACGACAACGCAGATATCGAAAAAAAAAAACTGATGACAATTGGTGGCTGGTTAAGAGACACAAACAGCGTGCGAGGAATATTAATAAATGCAAACTTGTTCTTACGCGCATTCCCATACGTTTCACGAGGCCTTGTCAATGACGAGTGAAAGAAGAATGGGACCAAGAGGCACGGGAGGACGGTGGCAGGGCGATCTTACGACGACGATCGATCGATGGGAGGAGACCATGTTCACAGTTAGAAAATAATTTATTCGATCGCTCGTTCAAGTCTCAAGGCACTACTTATTATTAATAATCCAGTTTCAGCATTTAACAATCTTGTCTCTTCAATCCTTCTTTTTCGTCCGATCGGAAAGTTCGAATTTTCAAACGCAGTATAAAATTAATTAAAGAAGAATAAGAGGGATACGAGGTGCCACGAATTTTTCCCGCGCACAGTTCAAATCTTAAAAAACGTTCTATCATGCGAATAAAAATTATATATAATTTTATATATATGTGTATGTATATGTATATGTATAAGACAGTGAATTAATTGCACAGGCTATATTCTTAATTCTCAAATAATTAATAGTTCCCGTAACGAATAAAAATGATAATTCGAGGCACCTCGGATCCTGCCAGTACTATTATAAAACGTCTCCCTAACCTGAATAAAAAGTTTCTCCTCTTCGAAAAGAGAAACAAAGAATGTACAATGAAACGCGTGTTAATTACAATTAAATAAAGAGTGGAAAGAGTTCGATGACTCGATTCATCTCGAAGCTCGAAGCAAAATGTTTTCTCTTGCGTTAAAACTGAGAAACGGGTAAAAGTCATATGTTAAAACGTCGCGGGGACAATACGTTACAGGAAGAAATCGGTGCATCTTCATCGCACATTACAAAACTGTCACCTTTGCGAATCTATACCGATACTATATAGTTAAGCAAAAGCTGTTGCTACCAAAAAATGGCTACCTACAAATAATTCGTGTGCGTGATTTCACGGTGTTCTGGCTTACAAAGAATGCTAGTTCCGACGTTAAAAAACAAACGATACACGTTTCACTTGGCAACGATTTAGTCACGAGTGAAACTCGTTTATGCAATTTCATTACGAGAATCTGGAAGCTCATCGTCTCTAATGCTTTCTAATACGATCGTGTATAATACAAGCGTAAAGATTTTTAAATAGTCAATAATAATAATTACAGATAAATAATGGAAAGTGATAAAAACAAAATGCTTCGTAGAAAGCACCTGAAACCGAATTCGGGTTTTCCTTTCGAATACGTTTACACAAACTGATCATAGGGCGACGTTATCACAGCTTGCAAAGTGAAAATCAATCGTAAGAAGCTGTTATTCGACGTATTCTTGGAGACAGTCAAATGGAATTAGCAACAAACGGTTTATCAAGGTTTACAGTAAACGTAATAAAAGAATGTGCTATTATGCAGTGCTTTCCGTAGAGGATACGCGAGAATCGCGAGAGAAAACGGTATTATGCCCAGAAAATTGCCGGACGCCCAGTCCTTCCAAAAGAAAAAAACTATACACTTCTATAAATGCTTGCATTCAGAAGGAATCGTCTCGAGAATTAATTCCTCAGCGTGGTTGGGTCACACTCGATTTTTAAATATGTATACCTAAACCTAACGCGTACTGCAAAACGATCGTACGGTTTCATTCTTAAATAATTGATTTCTCAGCCTATAAGTACAAGGTGTTCTGCAAGTTAAATAGGAATATCAGTGAAGATCCGCGATTCCTATTACGTTGCGAAAGGTAACTTGGCACACCTTGCGGAGACTCTCGACGCGCTTCGTGCACCGAGAATTATCGTACGATTTCGGCGTAAACGAAACGACAGGGAAATACTACTTAAAGGTGAAGGATATAGATCCTACGTGGAGGAGTGAATCCCGAAAGCTTGGAATAGCTTGTTTTTTAAACCGGGTTTGTTAGGACTAGCGTCGTTGTGGCCGGACTGTCCCTCGTGTAGCGCCCTTTGTACCACCGGCAGCGAGCCCTGTGTGTTGTATCGCCGATTCGTCGGAACACGGGCCGGATAACGAAAAAAGAACAAAAAGAAAGAAGAAAAGGATAGTAGACGACTGATCCGTGTGCTACGACATGCAGTGCGACTAAAATAATTTGTTTATCTCGTAGGACGACGCGCGCTCAACTTACCTCCTCGTGTTGCTCGTGTTCGCTGTTGGCCAAGCTGGACCGCGACCCGCGTCTCGTCGACCCCTTCTCGTCGCCTAAAATCTGCGCTACTTTCCCTTGCTTCACGAACTCTAATGTCTGCTTCAAAACAAATGGGACAACATCAGTTTCTATTAAAATCTAACGAATTAAAAGCTCTGACTCCGAAGTATTCTAATTTCTTTCACTGTACTACATATTCCATTGCTTATACAGTGAAAGTAGAACCGGGACGAATTTATGATCAATAAATGAGCTTACCTCTCTTCGTGACCTGAGAGCACAATCTTCGAGAGTCTCGGCAGCCTCGTATTTGCCTTGTCTTCGGTATAATGCACCAAGATTTTTTAGAGTAGTCGTAACTGTAGGCGAGTCGACCTTGGCAGCTTTGTGCCAGCCTCCGTATTCTCCGTACGGGGCATTCTCTTTGTTTCTATGCTTATTTTCTTCCCTTTCCTCCGCGACCTGAAACAAGACCGGGAGCATCCGATTTGATCGTCGGACCATCGTACAAGCGTCTCACGCTTCGTAGAATACCGAAGCATTCATACCTGCCAGATGGGCTTGTTGTCGCCGGCGATAGCACCAAATTCTTTTTCGTGCGCTCTCGTCAACACCTGCTTGTACAGAACCTCTGCGTCCTTGTACTTGCCCTGCTTCAAGTAACACGACGCGAGATTGTTCTTCGTCTTGGCGACGTTAGGATCGTCCGGGCCAAGTTTCTGTTCGTAGATCTCCAACGCCCGCGAGTAATAGCGTTCGACCTCCTCGTACTTAGCCTGATTCTGGCAGAGCAACGCGAGGTTGTTCAACTGTTTCGCCACGTCCGGATGATCGCGACCAAGAACTTTCTCTCGGATCTCCAGGGCGCGTTTGCACAACGGCTCAGCCTCCTTGTACTTCCCACGCTTCCCGTATAAAACGGCGAGGTTGTTCAACGTCGCGGCGACCGCCGGGTGGTTCTCGCCAAGAGTCTTCTCGCGGATGGCCAACGCGTCGTTCAACAAGTTCGCCGCCTCTTTGTATTTATTCTGATCTCTGTACACCAACGCGAGGATGTTCAACATCGTGGCGACGTCCGGATGATCATGACCGGAGGTCTTCTCGAGATCCTCCAGCGCCTGCTTGCACAGAGGTACGGCCACCTCGTACCGGCCTTGACTCGCGTATTGTATCACCAAATTGTGCAGTGTGCGCAAACGTGCAGGTATTTCGTATCCAGCGTTCACCTGTTGTGCAAACTGCGACGGCGGAGTCGGTGATATCGCTACGGTAAAAAAACAGCAAACGTTGCTAAAAGTGTACGTTATCGCGATAGCTCGAAACCGCGTGACCCGCAGAATCTGAGAGTAACTCCCAGCGAAGTTCGCCGTCAGATTCTCGTTTCACACGGGCTCGAAAAACACCTACGAGGGACACTAGATAAGATAGACAGAAAGCGAACGTACACTTACTGTTTCGGTCGTCCGCATCGTCGTCCGGGAACAGATCGACCATCGGATCGTCCGGCGGCCTGTCTTTAGCATTCTCATCGTCCGCAGGTGGATCAGGATCGTACTGTTTCATGCTCTCCATAAAATCTATGTGTTCCTTCTTTACTTCTAATTTGGCTAGCTAACGAACAAAGGTATCGACTGTATTCCCGTTTCTCCGATAACGTCGCCGGGAATTACGATTAAATATAATTACCGCTTGTTCACTGGCTTGCAATTTTTGTTGCGTACCAGCTAACTCGTCCCTCAACCAGGCGTTCTCTTGGCACAACCTCTTCACTTGCGTTCTGAGTTTCTGCTTCTCGGCCTCCACCGCTTGCAAGTGGTTCGCAAGAGCTATCATGACCTCCGCCTCGTCGAGACCCAATTGTATCATTTCGATGTTCTTCGACAGCAAACTGGCTTTGTCCCTTGCGATCGGTGCGTCCTGGGCCTGCAAGGCCTGCAAGAGCCCCCCGTGTTCGGTTCGGAGGGCTTGCAGACCTTGGGCCACGATCTTGGCACCAGCCATAATTTCTTCCTGCGTCATGGCCGTCATTCTACCAATGTTCTCTATCTTTTTGCTAGAAATTGAACATTGTCACACGTTAAGATAAACAGAATGCAATGAATAGTCAGTAGAATAGGAAAGATAAGTTCATGCGAGTCAGAAATCATTTACAAAGATGTTCTTGGTTTGTCTAATCGACTGACGAGATGTCAACTATAACGCGGTCGTCGCTGACAATAGGATGCTTTCCAGTGATAACGAGAACTATGTGCAGTCTGCGCAAACGTTTGCGGTCGAGACGCAATGGTAGGATGAATGAAGATAAAAAAAGAGGTAAAACGAAGGTGAACGGTATTCGGAGCGACTTGCTTTACGCGTCAATAATTAACCGCAATCGAAAATAGGCATCGATCAGGAATAGCGGCCGAGGCAAGAACGTGTCCGACCTTCGCGTACGTACAGAGAACGTTTTCGTTTAGCGTTTTTACTTGAACGTACGATCTACCTCGCCTCGATCGGGAACGTGAAGATATCGGATCGCACGAACACCGGTTTCTGTGAAATTACATTCGGATGGAAACCTACCCCATGTCAGGGCCGCGTTAAAATCCACAGAAATCAATGGCTCGGTCCCTGCGCACAAGCGCTCGTCGTCTGTCCGAGGAAAACTGAATTTTCCAGAAGACCGGCGATGCCGGTCTTGGCGTTCACAGAGAATCGACGTCGAACGATTCGCGCGAGGAACGATCACAGAACGATGAATATCGGTTGAACGCGGACTCGTTTTAACGGAGAACTTACCCCATGTCAGAGGCCGACGTTAAACCACGGTAAGAATCGATGGCCAAGTAATTTCACGCAAGCGCAAGCCATGGCGTGTTCTCTTATGCGACAGAATTTCTATAGATATATGCAGCACAGACAAAGAAGGATGGCGAAATGTTCGCAGAGAAAAAAGGCAATTGACGCGAGGTTTCGATCGATAAAACTCAACCGGAAATTCACGAACGGCCAACTGAGAGATCAGTGAGATAGTCCAAGGATTTTGGGAAACCGCATCGGGAAAGAGCTTTGACCTCCTGCAGACGTTCCGTCAAACCTTGGCTCATGGATTTAAACGCCGCAGATATAATTTACTGGCGAGAGACTGACAGGGCTGAGAGTAATTCTTGCGGATCGATCGACTCTGCAGAGGGAGTATGAAAAGTCTGCGAATCGATTTTTCATGAAACTCGTATTATGAGTTATCAGCAGCGACAGTGAACGAGGAACATGCACCGAGATTCTTTCACCGCCGTTTCACGAGGCCTCCGAGCGTCTCTTATCTTCATGCATTCGCGAGGATTTCCTGAAACGAACAAACGATGGCCAAGCGTCTGATACGTAAGAAGAACGGGGGAATGAGTGTAGATAACGAAATGAATAAGCGGATCGTATAAGGATTCGTAAATAGGGGAACTACTCACATTCTATAAGCGTTCAGCGTTTTGGACATATCTGTTCTACCCATCGGTAATGGTTGGACTTTGTTGGACCTACCTAGTCCGCGTACAAAAAAAAATGCAACTCTCTCTCTCTCCCTCTCTCTCTACTATATCAATCTGTCTGCCGTTTCTTCGCGGATAGTCTTCGCGGCCGTATTGTCACTTTCAGTCGGTCGGATCTCTCGTAAAAAAATCATTTATACCGTTTGTCGACAGTAAAAAAATAGAATCTACATATATCTGTACATCTACGCTAAAAAGTGTCCCGTAATATGATTCCTAAAAGGGGGGCACCTCACGGAACCACGTTTAATTCTTTACTGAGAGCTGGGCCAACGTTTGGCTTCGGTACCCTCCGCGGACGAAACACCCGTCAGGGTGACGAGGGGATGAAACAGCGGCGCATGCGTCCGCATTTCATGGGTGTTCCTACGACTGCATGAAACGCGGTGCATCGGCACGTCCAGACCGCGATCAGGTAATGCAAATGAATGATAAGAAGAGGTTTCGTACTCGGCCACGTCCCGGTACGCGAATAAACGTCAGTCGGTCAGTAGGAATAACCGGAGGGTCGTCAAGGGGTGCGATGAATGAGGAGAATCTGAGAGAGGGTGTCACGCGTGTATGACACTTCACGCATCGCAGGGGACGAGAACGTGGGACCGACCCCTTATCAATTTTTCTGCTCACCCTTTACCGAACGAGAATCGTTAGGAGGAGAGTATTAAGAAGCCTCGATAATCAGCCGTCTTCTAATCGATTCGTAATGGAGTTCTAAGAGTTCTCTGTGAGAATCATTTTTGCGATCCTTCTCGTTGCAAAGAGGAGCGAGGGGTCTGCGGTAACTCGATGACTCACGGCATGACGACGGAACGTAACTTGCAACTTGTAAGTGCCATGTGCATTCATTCGTAGAGGAGTGCCCCGTGCACCAGACCGTTCCCAAGGATTCTGAAAACAGTTTTCGACGTCTCATTCATTAAAACCGATACATTTTTAGTTCGTTATCTTTATCGGCGTATTATTATTTCGAAGAACAAAAATATCTTGGAGATCGTGTAGCGACGTTAGTAATAGATTAGGTGGCCTTGTGCGTATATGCGATGCGGATCGATAGCGATATTCGAAAGAGCACGTGCGTGAGCATTTGACGTAACGCAGGGTAAACAATGTATTATACGCTTAATACGATTATCCTGGTGCTGGTCTTTCATTGAGATTCATATGCGAAACAGACATCTCAGATCTATTTGAAACTGTATCGTCGAATTTCGCATTTTTCTCTAGTTTGCGAAATGCTTGGTAAATAGAATTTTCGAAAGTACAATAGAAAGGGGTCAATGACAAAGCGCACGGATCAGAAATGGTCGCGCAACGAGAAGATCTATATTTGTTAAGAAGTAACGGCCGATACGCTGATTGAGATTCATATCGTATAACAGTCGCATATTCGTTTCGAATTTCGTTTGCATATACCGAGCAGCGGTAGCAGTTTATGGGACGCTGCAAAGATAAAACCTGAAGGACTCCTGTAAAAGTTCGATTGAGTGGGAAGTGCATCAGAAGATCTGTCAGTCGAATTTAATTTACCTCACCAGTGAAAGTACGTCCGATTAACAACGAACGTTTTATCACCGATCACAATTGATCTTCACTTATCTGCATATACCGATGTAATGACGCATAACAGGCTAATGACACCACGAATTGCGAATGTATTACATGGCGCAATTCCTTTCTAGACATTAGCGAATATTCGATGAAACGTGCTCCTTTCTAAATGCGGTAGAACAGATAATTATCATTACGATCATCGTCATGGTCACTGGTTCTCTGTCATGGTTTCACAGGATCTCACAGAAATGTATGAAACGAGTCGCTCCCGTTCGTCGAAAGGTGGGGCAATTCGGCACCTCGTATATAGACCAGCGCGTTTATCAAATCGGTAGAAAATTATCTCCAAAAAGATCGAACGATCGAGGTCTTACTCACCCTTGTGAACGGTCCACGCAGGAATTGTTCCCCCTGTTCAGTGTATCATCCCACTTTCCTGGCGGACGGCAGGATACCTCGATGCTCACACCGAGGACAGACCTTGAAGAAAACGTCTGTGCAATGGGCCGAAGGCTTTTCAGCTAGTCGTACGACGTTTTACGTGGGGATCCGTGAAACGTACGTAACGACGGTGCGACGGCGGATGGACAACGTTGCCAAAAACAAACTTCACTCACCGATCCCTGTCACGAATTTACACCGCGGTACGATCTTCACAATGCGGAGGAACTTTTGTCGAGCCTCTCGTTCTGCGATAAGTCCTCGACGGAGGATAGAACGAACCACTGAACTTTTATTCTTGCGGGTTTGATGACAGACTAAGATGGCGAGCACCGTGCGAGTTAACAAGAGCACGATAACCACATATTTCACGACGACGTCCCGCGGCCGAACGCGACTCTCACTGTACCGAACCGTTGGGTTATACGCGAAATCGCACGTTTCGAACGATCGTTCCTCCAAACGGATAATTCTTGAGGAGAAATCAGAGAGCTTCGAGATGAAAGTCCACCGTCAGCTAGTAGTAAAAATCCGACTGAAGCGACTCCGCCCGATCGCAGCGACACCTACCGGAATTTTCATGGACGCAAGTTCGATATCTCGATATTTAATTCGAACACGTTGAATCAAAAATGGAATAGTCGGCAAGATTCTTTGCGAAAGATATTATAACATGGAAATCGAAAGTCGGAACAGTTTATATCTATGCCGATGCGCCAGTCGATCTTCTCTCTAGTTTAATAAAAACGATCGTTTAATCGGTGTGCTGAATCGTCACAAAAAAATTGCGGGATAGCGGAAATAATTTTGCGGTAAACCATATTTATTTGAATAGTAAATAGATACAATAGAGAACGCTTTCAGCAGGCCAACTTCCCAATAACGGCAGAGAACTATCAATATCTTTTTGCTTTCTTCTAAAAGTAGATGCTTATCAAGACATTCGAAGCATCGTTAGTTTTTCCCTCTTTAAAATCTCTCAATAATTAATTAGGAATAATGATATTAGTTAATTCGTAATCGGCTTCTTAAAAACAATTAAAATAATTACCGTACAGATAAATATTGCTAACTCGGGAACAGTGAAAATTTCTCGTACATGTAATAATGGCATTCGTAATCACTTTGTGGCCTAAAATTAACGAAAATGCTATATTATAATAAGATTATATTGCGGCTCTTTGTATCGTGTTCAGACAAAAATGATCGTTAATCATCGTTCAATCGGGCACGTTTCCCCTATTTTTTTTCTCGTGCCCGACCACGGAGCATCCTTTATCCAATCTTTCTCATTAAATGGCATCAATATCAAAATCATCCTCGTCATCCGAGTCTTCGTTAACTACTGCAGGCTTCTGCACAGACGGCGACTGTTGCGGTTTCAGCGATTGTTTGGCTCTGTCATCATATTCGATCTGCAAAATCGATCATCAAGTTAATCGTTAATAACAGGAATGACATTTATTTCGTATGTAAATACTTACCTCTAAATCATCGTCTTCCTCTTCCGATTCAGAATCCTCTTCCTCGGCCTCTTGCAACCAGGTTAAGAACGGCGTAGCTTTATCGTGAATCTCTTGCGACAAATCTTTCGACACGTATTTCTTGGTCACTTTGTTCGACCACTCGAACAAAGCTTTCTCTTCCAGAATATCAGCATCGTAAAACAGCTGCAACAGTCGAACGATCAGGCGATCGAATCGTTTCAGCTAGTCGAACAAGTTACGTTACCTTCAAAATGCCAGGTACTTTCGGCATCAAGACGTCTTTATGCAGAGCTATCACTTGCTCGATTCCTCTGATCAAATACTTCTGCGCCTTGATGTCGTCGTGAGTGAAACGTAGTAGCAGTACTCGGTACTTCTTTGCTTGAAGAGCGATGTTCTGATCGAACAGTAACTCGGCCAGTATCAACGGCGCCTTGGTCTTGATCTCCAGACGCTCAGCCTCCGTGATCAGTTCCTTGTGGTTGTCCAGCTGCCCGGCGTCGCGACGGCATTTGAGTAACTTGTAAAACATGTCCATCCTCTCCTTTTCAGTCTTGTCGAGATCGTCGCTGATGGTCATTCCCTTCGCGCCATCGGTCAGATCTTGCATACGAGCTCGTACCGCTTCCTCCGACACGTCGACTGCCCAGTTATCGTCGTCCCCGTTCTCGTCCGCCATCTTCTCAGGAGCCTCGACCACGATGTCGGTGGTGCTCGTATCATTCTCCGGAGAACCAGATCGATCACCATTGGTAGTCGCGGTGGTCGTTGCGGCGGTGGTATCGCCGTTAGCACGTTTAGAGCGTTTCCCACGTTTACCCTCGGTCAGGGAGCTGCCTTGTACCGCGGGATTCAAACTCGGGGGATTCTTCAAGATGTACGTGTTTAATTTATGATTGCTCTCCAACAGCCCGTGATAGCCGCACGCTTTGCATCCCTGCGAGATGGTAGCCTTCTTCGCGCTGACCATCAGCTCGGTCTCGGGATTGTCGCAAGCCGGGCACAGTACGTATTTCCGAATGAATCCGTCCAAGAGGTCTTGCAGTTTAGTGGCGTCATGCGAACCGTTCACTATGAATCTCTCGTTTTTGAAATCGAATTGCGTCTGAGCGCCAAGCTCGCAGCCAAAGTATTTGGTAGGGTAAGTGGCGGGTCTGCCGATCGCTTTCGCGACGTCGACCATGTTTACGATCACTGTCTTGATGCCGTTACCCTTTCCCTCGACCTTCGCTTGGATCCGCGGCATCTTGTAGCGGTAAAACGCATCGCTGACGTTGCGGTTCACGTTGACACTCCCCATGATGACTTATCTTTTCGTCTCTTGCCTCTGGTTAATTTAACGTCCCTTCCGAGCGACAACAGCGATTTCTGACGAGGCGTCGTTGTGACGACGCGCCGCGTTACCGAATGGTGAACGCGAGTGCCGCGTACTGTCAAAAGCTGCGGAGAGCTTCTTCAGGTCGCTCACTCGTTATCCGGATGCTCCGGGCTCCTGGCTCTTCAAGTAGGTAACGTTTTCGTCCTCGTCCGTCTCGATCTACTTCTCACGTTTATCAGCGGCAGTTTGATTGCTGTGCAGCGACGTTGCCAGGCAATGGCTACCCGATGGTAGCTCGTTACGTGTCGAGTCAGGGTGATTCTCGTTGTCCGCGGTGAAGTGTGCCGCACTACCCGCTGACGCCAGTCACGTTTCTCTGAACGGCTGTAGCTTTCGATGCCTATTACTGTAAATCAACATACGTAATTAAAATCACAGCATCATTACGGAAGTTAAAGTATTTTATATAAATCTGCGACCCACCTGGAAAATTTTGAGGTCCTGTGCTTGGGTAGGACCAGGTGGTTCAGAAATCGTTGCGTGGTATCTTGATGCAGATATTGCCTCGGTTTAGTGGGCAGAGGGGGATAGTCTTCAATGATCATACACGCTGCCTGTCCGTCGCTTGTGCCCCTAAGAAAGCCTGGGTACCAGGTTGGTGTCGTTAACTCGCGAGTGGCTCGTAAGGAACGATTGAACCGGCCGATGGTGATGATGTTGCCGTTTAAAAATCGCTTGGACAATGTCCTACTACCGCCGCCTTTGCTGTACACCGATCCTTTCCCTCTGGATGATATCCTGGATGTTTCTGCACATAAATCAAATAAAAGATCAATTTACATTACCGTCGTGAGGATCTGATCGTTTGATTTTCTACGAGCAATCATTTATTAAACGTCCTTCCGACGTTCCTGGTAACGGATCGAAGCAGGAACAGACCTACGTTCAGTAAACCTGATCATCGCAGACCGAAGAACGCGTGGGACGCCTCGCGGTCATCGGGATCCGATTTAAGCGTTCACGATCATAGATAATGAATTTTTTTTCCTTTTCTCTCGTGATGTCCTCGATTGTCTCCTCGTCCATCCGCGTACGAGCGATCAGAATAATCGAAGCGAGCGTGCTAGCTAGGCCTGCTGAAAACGTTCGCAGAACGAGAGCATCAGGAGATGATTCTCAGCGTACGGCTCATGGATCATTTGTGCACGGATTTATTTGCTGTTCGGTGTCCGTAAATTTTGCCCGGTGTCAGGTGATAATTGGTCATTTAGCCTCGCGGTAATTTTTAACGATCGTCCAGCCGGTGCTCGGAGGTGATCGACGACGCGAAAAACATGATAGCGAAAGTCACACGCGGACCTGGCCTTCAACGGAGAAAATTGTCTGTCGAGGTGAGGTATTATCACCACCGGAAACGACACGATGAGGATCCTTCATTGAGCATCGTTGGCCAGAAATTGAACAGCTGAGCGATACCGATGAAAAATTGCCGATCGCGGAAATCCACTGTCCCGTGAATCTGCATAGGTACATACCAATTTCTAACAATTTCATTCCATCGATTTTATGTGAAGCTACAACGGATTGGTTAAGGATGCTATACAGTCAATCCCAAAAGTTCATGTACCTTAGAAAAACGCATGTTCTATAATTAAAAAGAAATCAGACGTCGGAAGAGTAATGCTAATAATAAATAGCTACGTGCTAAAAAGTATAGAAGGAAATATCCAATTA